CGTCGAGGATGGGAAAACTGCGCGATGGTGAGAGGGGTGGGTGACGTGGTGGAAGTGGGCTTCGCAGTGGAGGAGTGGTGGAATGACGAGTGGTGTTGGGCTTCCGTAGGAGAGAGGTGAGGGTGGTTGACCGGTGGGGTGGGGCGGCGTTCCGTGTGGTGTGCGGTGGATGGGGCTTGCTGTGCGGAAAGAGAGAGACGGGAGGTAGGTGGAGAGAGGTGACGGTGGATGAGGTGTGCCGTCGGTGGGAGTGGAGGAGGTGACGGGTGGGATGGGTGCGGGCTGTGCGTGGAGTGACGGAGTGAGAGAGGATGGGGGCTGCCGTGGAGGTGAGAGAGTCGTAGAGAGGGGTGACGGTGGGATGGGTTCCGTAGGGAGTGAGGTGGGGAGGTTGACCGGATAGGGGATGGGGGGTGCCGTGGGAGAGGGGAGACGGTGTAGGTGATGAAGTGAAGGGTGCGATGGGCTTCCGTGGTGGGTGCGGTGGATGGGGTGGCACGTGTGGTGAGTGAAGGTGTTGATGGATGAGGCTGCCGTGGTGGTGGTGACGGTGGAATGGAAGGTGCCCGGTGTGTGGGTTGCGTGGTGAGATGGAGGCCGTGGTTGGGCAGGTGGTGGACGAGAGACGTGTGAGAGACAGAGGTAGGGCTTTCTGAGGAATGGTGGTGAGGGGTACGGTGACGGTGGATGGGCTGGGCCGTGGTGTGGTGTGGACGGTGGATGGGGCTGCCGCGTAGGACGAGAGAAGAGTAGGTATGGAGGGTGACGGTGTGGATGGTGCTGCCGTAGGTGGTGGGTGACGCACGGTGGGAAATGGCTTCCGGTGGGTGAGGTGAGGTGGATGGTGCTAGCCGTGGTGTGGGTCGAGGTGACGGTGGATGGGGCTTTTCCGGTGAGGGAGAGAGAGGGGGTGGTGACGGTTAGTGGATGGGTGACCGGTAGTGAGTTTGAGAATCGAGGTGCTGCGCGTGAGGTGGTGATGAAGGGAGAGGGATGAGAGCCATGGGTGGAGTGAGCACGGTGGGATGGGTAGTGTGTGGGGGGAGCTTCCGTGGGTTGGGTGGGTGACGTGGGTGGGCGGGCTGTCCGCGTGAGAGAGTGGAGAGGTGGTGAACGGGTGATGGGGTGCCGGTGTTTAGGTGAGGTGACACGGTGAAGAAGTGGGGCGTGCCGGTGAGTGGTCGGTAAGTGGTGAGCGGTGGATGGGGGCTTCCGGTGGGGGTATGCAGGGTGACGGTGGATAGGATTCTAGGTAGAGAGGTTGGGTGGTTGAGTAGGGAGTTTGGGGCTGCCGTGAGGTGGTGAGGTTGGTATGAGAGGTGGTGACGGTGGATGGGGCTGCCGTGGTGGTCTGGAGTGACGGTGATGAATGGCTGTCGTGGTGGATGGAGTGTGAATGAGGCTGCAGTGGGGAGGTGATGAGTGAGGTGAACGGTTGGATGGAGAGACTGTTGCGCAGTGTTGTAAGTGCGGTGTGAGGTAAGGGCTTGCGCGTAGAGAGGGTCGTGGGTGATTGAGTTATGGGGGCTGCCGTAGCGGGTGTGGGACGGGTGGAATGGGAGGCTTCCGTAAGTAGGGTGGTGACGGTGGAATGGGCTGCCGTGGTCGGTAGGAGGGAGTAGGGTGGTAGGTGGTTGACTGGGGTTGGATGGGGGCGTGCGTAGGTGTGGTAGAGAGGGGAGGGAGCGGTGAACAGTGGAAATGGTGGCTGTGCCGACGTGGTGGTGGAGATGAAGATGAGGTGACGGGTGATGGGATAGGGGCACTTCGCGTAGGTGGTTGGTGACCGGTGTGGATGGGGCTGCCGTTAGTTGGTGAAGATAGATAGGGTGTGGAAAGCTGCGAGGGTGAGAGGAGTGGAGGTTAGTTGACGGTGGATGGGGCGAAGCTGGCCGACGTGAGTGGTGGTTGCGGTGATGAGGTGGGCGGGCCTGCCCGTCGGGATGAGAATCGAATGAGATGATGGCGGAGGTGGGTGGTGAACGGGTGGGTGGGTGAGCGCCGTAGGGTGGGACGTAGGGAGTGATGGAGTGGAATGGGCGGCTGCCGGAGGTGGGCGACGTGGTTGGGAGTACGCAGAGTGAGAGGGAGGCATGGAAACGGTGGGAGAGGGAGGACTGACGACCGTGCGTGGGTGACGGGACTGACGGCGTGTGATAGGGGTGACGGTTGTATGGATGGGGCTTGCCGTGGGGTGAGTGGGGTGACGTGCGACGGTGGATAATGGGGCTTGCGCAAGCCTATTGTGCGTGATGCGTGGTTGTGGGTCTTGTGTCGGTGAGCAGCGTGGATAACAGGGGTGGGGGCTGCCGACAGGTGTGTGAGCTGGTGTCGCAACTGAAGGCTGGGGAATGCCCGTCTGGTGTGGTGGTGACTTGTGGGTGTGTTTTTATTGGTGGGGCCTTCCGTGTGTGTGTGTGAACTGGTGTAATGTGTTTAGAGTTAGATGAGGAGAGAGGTTAGAGATGTGAGAGACGACAGAACGAGGACGATGGGAAGA